CAGCCGACAGCCTGCCGTTGGGTTTCGACGAGGGCACGAATTCTTTGGCCGAGGGGTTCAGTTTCGAGAGGAGATCGACGAGCTCCCTCACATCTCGATCGTAGCTGTTCTCCCGGTGATCCTCGGACCTCGCGATCCCGTTCTCAGCGACCGCCGCCATTCGAATTTGATCGAGAATTTGGTAGCGAGAGCCGAGAGAGAGAGAGAGAGAGAGAAAAGGGGCCAGATATTTGTATCGGTACGTTGGCTATTTAAGGGAAAAGCGTCATTTTTAAGCCTCTTTTTTTTTTTAGTTTCGATTTCCCAAAGATTACGTCGCAAGAAACCCAAGTGCGAGAGCGAAGAGAGAGAGAGAGAGAGAGACGAAAAAGGTGGCGTTCGAGAGAGAGAGAGAGAGAGAGAGAGGTATTACTCGCTGCACGCGTGCGTGAGCTTTTTTTTTCTGTATGAAGAAAGAAAAGGGGTTTGGATTTTGTCGTCGTTGGGATTCATCATATAAATGTTTGGTGAAGATTTGCTTATTAATTTTGACTGCGTTCACTGGTACTTACCGCTAATTAATTAGTGGGTTGAAACTACGGTCGGAGGTTTCTCAGTTTTAGCGCCGTGTTAATAAAAAAAAGTCAATGGCTGTTGAGAGCTTAGACGGGCAAATAGAGCAACAAACAAAGACCTGTTGCGATGGAGACTCGCGAACCTCGCCGCTGCTGTTGAGCAAGCGGGCAGAAGCTTTAATATGGGGATTAATTAGGTAGAGCATTCAGGACCTCAAGCACGTTGTTGGAAATGGATAGATAACATTGGCCTAATAGAAATGTTAGAGGCACACCCTTAAACCACACTCCCAACCATATCCCTATCCCCCTCTCTCTATAGTGCTTCTTGGGACCCACATGTTTCATTAAAAAAATCTAAAAAACACTATAGAGAGAGACTCTCTCTATAGTGCTTCTTGGGACCCACATGTTTCATTAAAAAAATCTAAAAAACACTATAGAGAGAGAGGGATGTGGTTGGGAGTGTGGTTTAAGAAAAAACACTATAGAGAGAGAGGGATGTGGTTGGGAGTGTGGTTTAAGGGTGTGTCCCTAGCACCACTCTTGGCCTAAAACAATGCTTTTATCAAACTCCGCAGTCCATAACGAATAGCGTTATAAGAAGAAATATCCTTAATATTTTTTTTTCAAGGAAGCAAATATCATATATAGAAAGAGTTGGAAGCGTGGCTCAAAAAAGTCTTAGACGCGTCGCTTTTGTTAAGTCTTTAAAAAAAAAAACGGCGTATAATGAATGGTATTGGTGGTTGGTGTAATAGAACGACCGACGCGACGACGGTAGATACAAATGATTTGCGATTTCATCAAATTATTTGCTCATTGATTGTTAAGAATAGCCAACTATATCCTAACATGTTGGTTGATAAATTGACAAACTACCAAGCGCCCGTTATAGCTATACGTTTGGTTTGTCAAGGAACTCGAGGTGTCATGTAGGTGTGCTTTTCTTGTGGGGTAGATTTGTTATAGAGACTTTTTAGGGATTCAATGCCTTGTTTTCTTCAGACACAGTAGAAGCTCATTTAACTGGATTCAAACTAGGGTTAACAAAAGCACCCTTTGAACTTAAATATAACCTATTGGGATTCTAATGCCGAAAAAAAAAATTGTAAAAAATTGTCAGACAACAACACGGGTGTCTTGAGAAGACAATTCCAAAACGTTATTCACTTCAACGGTCCAAAGAAAGAAGTTCACGAACTAATCTCCATATTGTGAAATGAAAATTTCGTGCGCAGATCATTTGAATCAAACATTTGGGCACTCACATACAACTGATGATGATGTCATTCTTTCAACAAACCCAAACTTACACTGTAGGTCCAAATAAACATCAGGAAACGATACAAAAGGACAACCCATCCAAGGACCCCTGAATAAGCGCAAGGCAAATGGGCACATAGATGCACATATTTACATCAAGGGCAAAATACACAAAACTATTGCAAATTAAAGGTGAATAAGTCGATAAATAGCACATACAGTTTCTTATTGCCGGTACTCTGGGTTGAAAGCAAGGGCCTCCCGATAAATGAGCTCCTTCATCTGCTCCTCCGATAAAGCATGCTGCTCGAAGTCGAAGCTGAAGGGCATTGTGCAAACTGGCTCATCACTGATATCATGCAAAGAGGCGAGATAGGGATGTGCAAGGGCTTCTTCAACTGCAAACAGAAAGAAAAGAGAAGCATAAAGATCAATCAAATACTTGTATAAAAGAGAAAATCTTAATCTCGTGATCATCAACAAGCTTTTCTTTTCAGGTCTGTCCTTAAAATGTTTTATGTGACGTATACTTGAATTCAAATAAGGGAATACAGTTGATTTAAAAGACGGGAAAATGAAGCTCCAATTAATCAGGCAGAAAATGAGGCATGAAATCAAAATGGTCAAGAAATATCTTTACTTAGCTATAAGTTTTTTTTTTCCAGATCACCAAAATTCTATCTCCAATTACCAGGAAAAGAAATGAAAAGAAAATTCGATATCCTTACTTTCGTTTTCAATTATACCCTTAGCTTATCATTTGAAAAACACATACATGAGAGAGGCAGACATGATCCACTTTCCCTTCTTCAGCTTAGAAAAAGGGCAAAAGAGAGGGACAAAAGTACCATAGGAAAATCTGATCTAAATGATTCTTCAAAATTACTGACCCCACTTGAAGGTGAAAGTCAAAAAGCAGCTGTAACTTTTCATAGCCAATATGTAGACAAGTTATCGTTAGTATTTGGTGATGATACTAAGACCTAGACTTCTCTGTGCAGAGAAAAAAGATACTGGTGTGCATTATTGAATGGAGCAAAGAAAATTCTTCCTGCATTTCAATCAACAAAATAAAAGATATTTGAATTTGACTACCTGCCCGCATTCAATTTAATTAAAAGACCATAGCCAAATGGGTGCCAGTTAAATTCATCTCTCAGAAAGACCAAGATCCAGTGTATAGACATAATTCTTCAAGCACAATTTATTTTAGGCAATCAACATCTGATGATAGGATTAAAGTCATGTGTATTGCCATCACAAATTTGACTTTAAGAACAAAATACTAAAAACCCAATCATCCAGCTTCAAGCATTACCCTTCGCTCCTTCTGTCATACCCCACTTGTTAGTCCCACATCGGGAGGTTACTAAAGTATTAATGGGTATATAATGAAGGTCATGACAATCAAGTGTAACCGTGTAAGAATGGCTAGTCATTTTTGGTAATGGTTATTGAGCCAAATAATGTCCTGTACTCCCTAGATCCCAGGGCTTAAGCCAAATAATGTGTTGTACTCCCTAGATCCTAGGGCTTACATCATGAAAACAGACTTGCGGGCTCAGGGCATGAAACCATCCCCTCATACCTAAAGCAACTACCAATAATGCCGCCAGAGTTCTGGACAATTAAAGATGGAGAATGCTCACATGGTTCTCACTTCTCAATACTCTAACCATCTATCATGATACATTCGAAATTTGTTGCAGCCATTTCCTTAAGCATCAACGGATATGAGCTTTTGACATGCTCACTTTAGTTATTATCCGCTCCCATTGCAAAACCACTGTAGCATATATCACACCATGCTACAAACCTACGATGTCTGAAAATAAGAAGCCCCAACAGCACAATTAAATAGGAAAATAAGGTGAAACTACCTTTTTCCTCGAAGATCACCATATCAACCTTCAGAGAACCAGTCAAACTAACCAATCCAATTGCCACATGCAAAAAGATATCTACTTCTTTAAAAAAAGGACTGGGCAAAGTATATGTCCAACTTAAAAGAACAGGTTGCTCAAAGTCTCCAGCTTGATTTTAAGTCCTTGGGCAATGGGCAAATACTATTAAGTGAAACAACCAACTCTATTACTCATGTGGAACAAGTCTGGAAGAGGGCACACGTCATCTTATACTCGGAAGACAGCACACGTAAGAGATGGATGATTTATAGATCTATCGGAAGCATAGACGATGAAATCTTTTGTTTAATCCCAGTGTTCTAGTACCATAGTCATCTTCAATTAGCCAAAAGCTTAAACTGTTAGATAGCAGGTCCACATATTATCTAATGCAAAAAAGAAGACCAAACATAGATGTCTAACCATCATTAGGTAGAACTGTTTCCAAATATACATTGACAATGAAGGGACTGGATGAAATGTATATATGAACTCACCAGTAATTCTCTGTCTAGGATCAAAAGTCAACATCCTTTCAACAAGATCAATAGCTGCTGGGTGAACATGGGGAAACTTTTCATGAAATGATTGACGTGGATGACGAGGAAGTTGGCGGATATATCTTCTAGCATTTTCATTCACATATCCCAAGTCAGCCTCGTCTGGGGTGCCAATAAGCTGCACGATCCCATCATAATTATTCACTAAGATTAATAACATGAATTTTCAAAACATAAAAATACATGCTGTAAGACAATGTAAGTTCTACATTCAAGCAAGCAATTCTGAATTATCATTTTACATTAATCTGTATAGAGAATCAGAACCAAAGTCATGCATGCACAGGTATCAGTGAGCTAATGAATTCAGCACAGCGTTGAGTATGCATTAAATTTAACATGTTTAAGTTCCATGAGGTAGTCAAGGCTAACAGCTAAATGAAAAGTCCGAACTATTCATTTAATACCGACACCGAAATACACGCTCTAACATGTGATTTTCATAAGACTGAAATACTAACTCAACATGTGATTTTTATAAGACTTGCTTCTGAAAAGCACTGTACCTTCTCCAATGCTAACTAACAAAGGAAAATGAGATAATAGTTTAATGAAACCTAAAAGCAGTTTTAAGTATGACAATTTTGTAAGCAAGAAAGGCAAACAAAGGCCAACAAGAATTCATCTAACCGTTGCAGGGTTTATCAAGGCATAAGACAACAGCAGGACAGGTTACTATATATAAAATGATCTTCCTTGAATGGTTGCAAGAGACACAAAGTAAAAACCCGTGAGGACAGAGCAAACAATCACCCTATGCACCAATAGAATTAATAACGGCAATCAGAGGGAAGGACACACAAAAGAAGCAAATGACATAAGCCAGGGGCAGGGATTCAACACAGCCAGGAAAAAACAATCAGTCACTTCTGGTTTTTTTTTTTTTTTTTTTGAAGATTCACTTTCTTTTAGAACAAAAAAAAAAACATAATAGTTTAAGCAAAACTCACCATCATTATAAACTTATCATTAAGCAAGCATATAAACCAGCCATATCCTAACAGAAGTGAAGGAAGAACTAGAAAGATAAGGGGTGTCTTTGATGTCCTACGATGTTTTGTAGGTAAATATTAAATATTAAATATTTAAAATAACATGGAAGAGACGGGTTTCACCTCCATGAGTAAACGTAGCTGGTGAACATGGTCTCTCCCAGGAAACAAAGGCTTCCGGTCCATCAGTTCCATAAATATGCATCCAACTGACCAAACATCAATTGCTGCAGTGTATTCTGAAGAATTCAACAATAGTTCTGGTGCTCGGTACCATCTGGTAACAACATATTCTGTCATGAAATCCGTTTCAGCAGTAGTACGAGCAAGCCCAAAGTCACAGATTTTCAGATCACAGTTTGCATTTAAGAGAAGGTTGCTAGGCTTTAAATCTCTGTGAAGGACATTTGCTGAATGTATATATTTCAAGCCACGGAGGATCTGATACAGAAAATACTGCAAAGGGGATATAAAAAGGAGAAATTAATTATTTAACATCCAGTGTACTGTATTAAACAATATTAAAAACTCACACAGCATATTGTTTAGGTGTAAGAAGATAGATATAGGCCTTTAAAAGAAATTAAATATTTCAGAATTTAGAGATGGTTTTACCAGAAGAAGATGCCTACATCAAAGAATCATGAATGTGGTTAAGCTTGTTGGACTAACTGGCAAGTAACAATCATAAAGGTATATTGACAGCAAGGCTTCAATCCCAGAAGTTTTAACTATTCTTCTCACCAAATTAATCCAACAGAATTATATAGTTCAAGATTAACACCTGTTCTGAAGTTAGCTCTTTTTGGGAACAAAAGTACTTACTCAGTACATTCATTGCATGTCTCATTATTTGTTCACGGTCCCACTATTTGCATCTCTTAGTAACCCTAATAAATAACAGAGAGAAGATACAATGCCATAACCTAGCTTGCATGGGCAAGTGGAAAATGAGACTTAGTCATATCTAAGATAACTTAGTTTTGACATATGTTTCGGATATAAAATTCATGCATGCAATTGAAACTCCAAATATCGGTTCTGATATATTTCGTGTATTTCAAATGCAGTTAGTAAGGTCAATATAGTAGAACTTAGATCTATATGGCTACTCATTCATTAGCCCTAAGACACAAAGATTTCTAACTCTACATAACATTAAAATGCAGCAGGCACGTAGATAAGGAAGCATATATTCAAAAGTCTCTGAATTACTTATTTGCGTATTTTCATATTTAAAATGTAGTTCGCAATGTACATAAGGAAACCTGATATTCAAAAGGATGTGAAGGTAAACTTATCTGGATACTCTCATCAACCGTGTTATGGCAATAGCATAATGTCTCAAAAGCAAGTAACAGAAAAGAAATGACCCACCATCTTGTTTTTGGATACTTGGATTTACTTTTGTACTTCTCATGAAATAAAATAATTACATTCAATTCAACTTACTGCTAGCAATCCACATTTTCGGAATAAGCATCCGCAGTTATCTTCACTACGCTACCTCCAGCATAAAGACAGTTCATAAATGGAAACTAAGTTTGCACTGATACTATTGCACTATTGCAATCTTCTGTGTTAGATGATTCAGAGAGGAAAGAAATTTAGGGGCTGTTTGTTTTGCTCAAAAAAATGAGAAATGTCCCGCCACCTCACCTTTCAAGAAAACTCCCATGGGGGCTGTTTGTTTTGCTCAAAAAAATGAGAAATGTCCCGCCACCTCACCTTTCAAGAAAACTCCCATGTGCCACATAGGTTTTTGATTTCAAGAGGTTTCCATTTCATGTGTTTGCTTCGTCTTTAATTTTCAAGAAATGAAGTGTCACATGTGCTGCCACCTCAATTTTTCAAGAAATGTGTTTTCAGCCCAATTTGGGCTGAAAACACTTGGAAATGTCCCATCGGAGAATAGTTAATTAATAAAAGCACTGTTTGAATAGTTCAAAAGAATAAAATGAAATATTTAAATGCCACATTTCTCATTTCCTTTTTCTTGTTCTCAAACAAACACAAGAAATAGAAATCAAAGCACTGTTACTATGGAGGCTTTTTTTGTCTTTTTGTATGACTTGGCTTTGAAAATGAATCTTTTCTTTGCGAAACAAACAAAAGAAATGAAAACTAAGAAATGTCTTGAAATGTCTTGAAATCATTTCAAGAGCTACATTTCCATTTCCGATTTTTTTCGGAAAACAACCAAACAGCCCCTTAGAAGAAAGTGTGCAGGCTTCTACAGAATAAGTTCATTCATTGAGGATTCAGAAGATCCATGCAAGTGTGAAGCACCAAATCATAACTTATGTACTTTTCATAGAACACTACCTTGCAGGTGCCTGCTTATGTATTCAGTTTTCTTTTTATTGTACAGTTTAACATAATGCCTATGGTTATGATCTGTCTCTAGTATCTGAGTTTTCCTTTGATATTATACTAGTATTTTGTAAACTCCAGAAAATGAGGATTTCAAAAGTCAGCTTCGTGGATGGAAAATGAATTGGCACTTGAAAACTGCGTCATTAAATTTTTAACGAGAATGCAAGGCTATAACAACCACTTGCAAGAACCAGAACAGAATGTAAAGAATATGAAGTGTTAATGAATAAAGGGTCTAGCTACGCGTAAAATTCCTTAAAAATATGCACCCTTCTTCATGATCTCAAAGATGAAATAGATTCACAGTTTACCTTATTTGAAAGTCCACGTTTATATTTAGCGATACATTTTCTTAAATATTAATTCAAGTAGAAATATGATTGTTGTAGAAGGCTTCATCCTGACACTACTATACCAAGTCACATGGATCTATTACATTCTTTTTCTCAGCTTTTTTTTTTAACATAAGTCCAGCTACTTGCACTGATAACTTTGTAGCCAAAACTATAAACCCAACTGATAGTTTCAAAAGTAATGCATAGCTCATGACCTGGTACACAAAGCATCAGATTTCTGTATTTTCACAAGCAAAAATATAAATGAGTACAGCTGCACATCACATGAGTAGAGAAAACAGCAGAAGCATTTAGCACAAACCAACAGTAGAAGCATTTAGCACAAATCGGAAAAGTAAGTTCAAGTAAATGATCACTGATCAGCCATCCTTTTCATGATAAGTTTAAATTGAAAAAAATCAAGCATATTAAGTGCATGTATGCTTTTATGCTCTTGTTGTAAAGATGACAAACCTGACAATGTTCTTCGGATAAAGGTTGATTGGAGCGAATGATTTGATGCAGATCGGTGTCCATTAACTCATAAGCGATGTAGACATCATTGAATGATTCTCTCACAGGGGGAGGTACTATATCTCTGATTGCCACAATCTGTATGAAAAATGGAGCAATGTTAACTTAGAAACAGCTGCAATAAATCGATGCAATTAATCGAGCAAATTAGTCCTTGAGTACAGTAAAAATACGATGTACTAGAAATAGTTAAAAATGCATCATGCAATATTATTTTTCCTTGTGTAACTGGACAATCGGATGTTCAAAGCTCAACTAGATGAAAATTATGTCTCAGAAACTACTTTCTTAGTGGGTTAGCAGTAAAATCAACAGAAGTAACTGACTTCAACTTGACTTTGTACACATCGCTCAGATGGTTGCAGTTAGGGATAATAGATTGAAATTAGTGGTTAAAATAGAGGTATAATTGTATAAACAAGGGAAACTGGTAGAAATGGTAAGAAATAACGTCTACATTGAGTAGGAGTAATAAATAACATCTAGATTGAAATATAGTAACAAGAAATATCGTCTTTATAGGTAGAGGAGAGGTACTATGAAATACTATTTAGATTTTCTTTTTATCAAAGACTCAGTCAAATACATCCAAAATAACCTTAAGCTCAACTATGATGTGACACTACAAAGAATTGTGTTGCCATGATAGCTAATCCTGGTATCATGTGACAACTCCATGGATATTATACTTAAGGCTACTTGTAGAATTAATTTCTTGAGACCTACACTGAAGTTTCATATAGAAGACTATAGTAAATTGACCCTACAGAAGAATTTTCATCTCTTCTCAGATCTAGCATAAGCTTACTTTCGTAGAGAAAACTAAGGAACTTTTCCTAGAAAAAGAAAGTATCGGTAATGTAACATCATTCTTCTCAATTCCTAGGCTATACCAAGCAGAAAAAGCATGCAGTAACTGTTTAAATTGCACAAGAATTCCAAGTCCAAGGTTTTAAATATCGGATATCGGAAAAATATCGGATGGCGAAAATTCATATTGGATTGCGAATATCGGGGATATGTGGTAAATATCGGAATGTCATAATGAATGTTTGCCTATATAGTATAATGTACTAAAATGTAATCTCAACATACTCAATGTTGTAAAAAGCGGCGAATAGCGGCGCTATTCACGGAAACCGCTCCTCTTACCATGTTCGTAGGGTGTCAAGGTGGGGAAAACGCTTTTCACTCGAAAAGCGGCTGATAGCGCGTAAATGGCGCTGTTTAGAGCTTAAAAGCGCTTAACTTTTAACCGCTAAACAAGGTTATTTATTTTTGTTAATCTACCCGAACCCGAAACCGACCTGAATGCATAATAACCTCCCTCTCGCCTCTGAATCCCGACCCAAGCCCTAGCCGTCTCTTCTTCTCTTCTTATCGCTTTCACCTCCCTCTCATCTCCGACTCCGCCTCCGGTCTCCGGTCTCCGCCTCCAGTCTCTGCCTCCAGTCTCTGAAGCTGTCTCCGCCTCCAATCTTCGAAGCCGCCTCCGCCTTCGTCTCCTCCTCCTCCTGTGGCTATCTCTCTTGGGCTTCGCCCGCAACAGAGAAAAAGTTATTTACTAATTTTGCAAGCTCTTGCTCGTGCTCCAGCTCCTATCTACACACTTGAGACTTAATTTGTTTTGCTATTTAAACACTTGCAACATAAATGAACTGCATTTTCTTTTCCACTCAAGACCACCCAAAAGATCTCATTTCCTTTTATTGTCCCCTTTTCTGTTTCAACATAAACAGAGGATGTTCTAACTTATTTAACTATCATGATGCCCTCCTGATTAAGATAATATATTATCAATCAATTTTAATTAATACCATGAAACAAATGAATCTAGTCTAGCTAGCTCATTTAGAGGTTAACACTATCGTCTGGAATGTACATAACTTGGATATTAGTTATGAGAAGAAAGATTAGGGTTCTAATATAGGATAACTGGAATGAGATTGAACTAAGCCTGGGTAGGACAGCAACTCCAAGATCTAGGACCACTCCACTTAGGGACAATGGTAGATCAATGAAGTGACCAAGATCATGAAATTTTTATCTATAGTAGTAACCTATAGCAGGTTATGACTTATGATTTTGAACTCGAACTCATAAATATTCATTTATAGTTTATATGCTTAATTGATTTTGAACTCGAACTCATAAATATTCATTTATAGTTTATATGCTTAATGAAAATGCTTGTGAATGAAAATGCTATATACCGAACTCATAAATATTCATTTATAGTTTATATGCTTAATGAAAATGCTTGTGAATGAAAATGCTATATACTTTATGTTTCAATTATTCATTTTCTAAAAGTTCATCTCTTCAGTTGCACATATATTTCATGCTTAGGCATTAAATATGCATTTGCAGAATTTTTAGAATTTTTTTTATTATTTAGAATATTTATATATATTTATATTTGATTGCTATTTGACTATGTGCTATTTGTCGTTATTTTGCCGCAATAGCCCCAAATAGCCTTAGCGGTAGCTCGACGCGACGCGACGCTATCAATAACCTTTAACATACTTAATAAAATCTAAGCATATAAAATGTAATAACTATATGTTTAGAATCACTAATCAACCTTGTAAAACAAACAAAAGTACAAATCAATGTTGTGACATTTGTTCTGATTTTTTTAGGGCAACATGTCATTAGATATAATGGGGATGCCAAACGCAGTATATTGTATTGCAACAAGTCATATAAAAAGATATATCAGTGCACGTATCGGGATATATCGCCCAAAATAACCAAAAAGGGGTAAATGTTATTTAGAGACCATATCGGTGCAGCCAGCCTTGTAAAAAGATATATCGGGGGGCCATGTCGGGGATATTTAAAACACTAATTCCAACTAGATTCCTAAGTCCAAAAGGGATGATCCTTTTTTTTTAAAATGACAAATTTTCATTATTGTGCTCTCTATCATAAGAAATTTTGTGGTAATTTTCGGAAAAAGAGGTGAGATAATATGGTAGCAGAATGTACATTTGGACATTGGGCTCAAACTGACATTGGTTCAAGAAGGGATGGGGGTGGGGGTGGGGGGGGTAGAAAAGAAAAAGGAAGAAGAAGGCCAGCTTCCTAGTCCCATCTGCATATAAGTGGGTGAGGTGACATAATGTCCTGGTACAAACAAATGGTCTGCAAGTCATCACTCTTCTTTGTATTTCAAATGAAGATGTTCGTGAAGATCACCAAAAGAAAGAATGAGAAAAAGACCTAGACATATCTGAATGACGCTTAGCTGCACCAAGATAATGGCATATAAGCGAAACAGCAAGTAAAAAAATCTCACTGAAAAAGAAAGACTATATTTTGAAGATAGCATCATAACAATTTATAAATGTTCCGAGTTATGCTTGGAGCACAGAAGTCACAGTCTATAAACCAAAACAGAGTAGCAAACTCCTATAGACTAAGCAGCTCACTTATGCAACCTAAGCTCAAAGACCATACCAATGCCTTGAATCAATCAATAACGTGGGGAATTACCACTTTCTGAAGTCATCAAAGCCTTTTCAGTTTGTATTATCATCTTGCATCATCAATCCAATCTCTTCAATATTATAATTTGAAAGTAGCGAAGTGAGTGGAATGTGAACAAAGGCAATCATGTACAAAGTAAAGGAATACCTAACCAAAACCTAGAACAGCCTAACCTTTTTTCTCTAGATTTTCCTCATATATCCAAAAACAGCCACATAACAAACTGGTGAAAAGGCTATTGCCCTAAAGGCTTCACATTTAACAAAGCAATCAACCCATTTCAGCAGAAGATACACTTAAAAGCTCTAGTCTCCCTCAAATTAACTAGATCAAAGGAACAAGGAGATGAAACTAAATAGAATGTCAACCAAACTCACTAACATTTTCATGATCCATGTGCCTCAGAAGCTTGATCTCCCTCAAAGTCCTCTTCGCGTCGATCTTATTATCGAAAGCATTCGCGATCTTCTTGATCGCCACTTGCTCTCCAGTCTCCGAATTCAACGACGAGCTGAAACCGATCCATTCATCCAAATCAAGAAACCCGGGGGGCAAAAAAAAAAAAAACAAAACGAAATCATCCAAAAAAAAAAAATATGCAAAATCTTAACAAAATTACCATACGATCCGTGACGCGCCCTTTCCGGATTGCATGATTTGGCCGCGGCATTATGCTATTTGGGACGTGTGACTCGAAAATGTTGCCGAAAATGTTGTACTGATAATGCCCCGTGGCTGAGCGTCGCGAGATGTCTCCATCCCGGCGTGCGGCGGCTGCGGCGGCGGGCCCGCCCTCCGCACATGGACGGGCTGTTCCTGCGGGCGGAGCCTCCGGCGCTCCATCGCCAAGCCCTCTCCCCCTTCCTCCTTTTTATCTCTGCTTTGGTTGATTTCCCCCCCCCACCGCGCCCCCTCCTTTTTTACTTTCTATAAAAAAGGAATGGCGAATTCATAGTCGTACTCGCGTCGATGGTTGTATCTTTTATATCGCTTTGATTGCTGGGGATAGAGAAGAGGTTGAGTTTGTTTTATATTATCTGGGAAAGGATGTTTTCCTCTGCAAACGTGGTTCTAGAGCGGATTTACTCTGTAATTCTTCCTCGACCTTTTGTTTTGCATCTGGGCCTTTTTGTAGGGTAGGGGGTGGGTACGGGTCCACCCGCAGGCTGACCCGGCCTAACACGCCATAGCTCGTAACCCGGTCCGACACGTAGTGGGTTGGACCTGATACGGTCTATGATATATCCGGCTCACGGACCGTTGTGGTTTAGCCCCAAACCCAGGGCCATAGAAGTTGTGCCCACACCCACTCGATTCAGCCTGATCAACGCCGACTCATGATATGTTTTTTTAGCTAGGCTAGC